AAATACCTAGTGTATATTAACTATTATTTTAAATTTTAATGAAATCAGCGATTCCTTATTACTTGGGTAATTTGTTGAAATATTAGGAAATAAATTTACAATGCAATGCACCTATCTGTTGCTGTACCATAAATAATAATAAAAAAAAAATGAATTGTACCAACTATAGGATGAACACATAGGTTACCCTGTATTAGGTAAACTATACATTTGAAAGAGCACATTGATAAATTATCCTAGTCAAGTTTATCACATGGATATAGAAAATTGAAATATTCTATAGTCTTTTCATTTTTGTGATCGCCTGAAACTATGAAAATATAAAAAATCTTCAAGTAAAATTAAAAACTTTTCATATTATAGGTATTATGTTTTACTATATCACATTGACTCTATCATGAATTAATAATACATTTATTTAAATTAATAAATATGCTGATAATATACGAAATGCTGTATAAAATATTTACTAGGTGGTTAAAGTTTTATCGTATTTCCGTTCGGCGTTCTCTGACTTCTCTGCACTCGAGAACATAATCAAAATTAATTATTCGTCCTCAAATATTGTTTAAATTTTCAAGAATGTAAACATATATTGATTATTATTTAAATTTAAGCAAGTAATAGTTTATTTATATACATGGTAGGTAAGTACTTTTATGTTCAGTCATTTTCTGACGGTAATTATTTACAGCAATATAACTCTAATATATTTTTTTCATCAAAGCAATTAAGCTTGATAAAATATAAGTGACTAACATATTAATATTAGATACCATATGTTGTACATATTTTTGTAACAGCGAACGCACGACGAGTCTTGACAGAGTCCCACAGATCATTTGAAATCAATTGAAAAAAAAAACAAAATTAATGGTCTCTGGCATTTAGCAAATATTATAATTTATAACGTATACTATAAGTATGTAGCTGGTAGCATACGCATCCACTTATAAGCCTGCTATATTATGTTTCACACCGCGTAAAACATAAGCCAAGCCATACAGTGCCTTATACATATAATATGATTATAAATATTAAATTTTAATATTAGGTACACCCGGCGCGTGGGCTGCTATCAGTCACACAACGTGACTGAGAGTAAGTAACGGCCGCTACCACTAGTTCCCGGATGGGTGACCGCCAGAGTTCGAAGTGAGCATAAACTTTGCCACAAATACATAATGTGCTTACAACCGTAACAACGGTATTCATACCTTATATCGTACCAACACTATCAACCTTACAGGCTAATGACCTCAGTCGTCGAAGCCTTGATCCAATAAAAAAAAAATTAGGTTCCTATAATAGGTATACTTTAATATACTAGGTGCATATACATAATATGACATTATATAACACATAATACACCCGCAACTTAAAAGGCGCTTATTCATATATTTTGTTTAATCATAAATCGTTTGTTACATTTTTAAGTTTATAATAATACTTTTATCAAAAATTCAATTGGATACCTTCTCAACAGTAAAAGCAGAGTAAATACCATGTACGTATTGTTAGATATTTATTACTATACACCAGATCACTTTTGCGTATACCTATAACGTCATAATTATCCGATGAATTATACGTTTGACAGTTATTTTATAGAAAGGGTGTCGCATGATTTGTGCAGGTACGCTGCAGTACACTCAAGGAAGATGGCCAATAGGGTTTTATTGATTTTACGAGACACGCCACTCAAGGGAGATAATATAATGTTATTGCAATATAAATAATAATTAAAATGGATTAAAAAAATATTTTTGAAGAATTTAGCTATCACCGACCACCGAGTTAAACCTCGTGTCTTACAGGGTAAAAAAGCCCATCTTAGGCACAAACCAATAGGAAATTTACACGGTATTTAAATTTGAAAAATACGCAAGTAGGTATAGGTACTTATAGTTACATATTTTACGTATATTATTACGTGCAAACAATACATTTACGAGTATAGGTAATGAGTACAACACACACGTACACTCGTACATACAGACATCATAGCAGTCGTTACGGTTTTTTTTGTCATTTTTTTTTTTGATATCCCACCGTGCAAAATGGTCGGTGAGGGACACACAATAAACATATTTCATAGAGATTATAATAGAACAGTCGATCGATCAATATAATATCCGTCGTTGGTACGCCATTTTTTTTTTTATTAACCCTTCTCGGCTGCTGGTATTGTTATTGGAAACGGAAGCGTCGTCGCGTCGCGTTGGGTTTTGTGTGTGCGTGACGCATGTAACGAAAAAAATTTAAAATACAATTTACAAGCTCCTAATAATAGTAATATATACGTACTACCACAGTCGATTATCACAGGCACGCCCGATAGTACGTGTTTTCGTGAAAATATTTGAAAAAAAAAATAACGGTATAGTTACCTACGAATAGTTATAATAGTAAATTATAATAGTGAATAACCTGTGAGATCCAAATATTAATATACGGTTTGACGATGACATTGACTTGACTATAGAACGTTTCGGTTGTTTCGAGTTTAAAATTTCAGTCGACATCCAAACCCGAAACACCAGTATAATAATTTAGTTTTGACATTTAAAAGTTTTCAATAATATTAAGAATATAAAGGTTACACTACAATGATTGTTAAAAAATATTTATTACAAGTTAGGAGCCCGAAATAATGAACAACGAAATAATGTAGTTATAATATATTATATTGTATTGCCACACTTGTACAGCTTTGTTTATAGCCTTAGACTTCATCTAATAGGAAATAACTTGATAGACTAGAAATCGATTTATGGACTGGAGATGCATGAACCTTATAGGTAATTGTATCAAATCATTCGAATTTGAAATATTTAATAATAGGTAGTATAATATTATTGTTTATCTAATAAATACTAAAATCACGCAGTGATCAAATTCGTAACAACCCCCAGCTGTCTCTTTCGTCAATCTCCTAAAATATCTATACTACAATAATTATTTTCCATACATTATTATAATATTATTATGACGTAAGTATAATATGAAGTAGCTTTTGATAATATTATTTTTATACAAAAGTATAATATGAAATCGTTTCTCTTACTTTAAAGATTCAACAAGACTGCGATGGATCAAATATGCTGACATCTACCCCACATACGAGGTGAGTTGTCGGAGCACAGAAATATTGCATCGGCGGCCACCCTGGTGGTCAAAGCCGTACAAATCAAATATTTGTAGTATTTGAGTCCGCTACGCTGCGCAGGATATATCCATAACTTAAAAAAATAATAATATTATTACGATCGCTATTTTTATAAAAATATTTTTTTTTTTTAAAGTAATTATTTTGTACGTGCATAATGTATACTTTGTAATTTTTAAAGTAAAATTGTTTTTTTATCATACAAATATTTGATATTTTGTTACTTTTAAAATTATAAAAAACACTTTATTTATTATTAATCAAAACTTCTACTTACATTCGTATTTACGTTCGTCGTTGACGTGTATGTATAAATGCTTAATCGATTTTTAAAATTTTTATTAGCTTTTAAAAAAATATAGGTAGTTGTTGATTGTATAATAGCGTATATTAAATTATATTATATAAATCTTACATAACGGATTGACGTTTATGTTTGTGATTAAAAAAAAAATTTACTATAAAAACACTATATATTATATTTGTATAGGTACCGTTTAGAACTTATCACTTTCTAAGAATGTATCTATATATTTATTATTTAATAATATTCAACAATCAAAAGTCCATATTATTATGTTATGGTTGTAAACTATTATTAATAGTGTGTGCAGTTTATAAACCGTACAGTAAATCAGTACCTAAATCAGTTTATATAAGATAACATTTAGTACTATATTTATATAACATTAAATCAATCCAAAATAAAAAATATATTCGGTAGGTAGGTATTTTGTTGTATATTATATTACTATTCAGTTTATTCAATTTGCATTAACCAAAAGGTTTAATCTTGGATTTTGTATTTTGTTTTCTAGTAGGTTTATCTTATTAATGTTTCCAAATCAATCTAAAATAGGGATATTAGGTAGGTGCCTACCTAATATTATTATGCATATTCATTGTTCACGGCGTTACTGATAAAAGGTAATAAATTACTAATTTTACTCGAATAGTTATCTCATTAGTTGTACTATACAATACTCATAAAAACGACATATGTCTGGTTATTATAACTATAAAGGTATGTACTGAAATGTTTTCGAAGATGGCTTGTAACCACGATTATTCGCTAACAATTTAAATACCCAAACATTCCAAAAAATATTCAATTATTCATTATTAAAGCAATAAAGTCCATTATTTAAGCGACATTGTTTTCCTACTTAGACAATTATTTGGAGTTAATAATAGTAATTATTTTTTTGCTTAGTGTTAAATTGGTTCATTAATAAATTATGAGAAAACAATTTGTGAAAACGCCAATATGAATACTTTATACTTTATACTACCTACGGAATTTTACTAGGTGTACAGTTTAAAACAATCTGTATAGGTATATTAATTAGACAGTGTATTAAATCAAATCAAAAGGATGCTATATCAAAAACATAAAACAGAGTACATTAGTTCATGTTCAAGTATAGGTAGTAGGCAAGTGGTCAAAAAACTAAAATAAATATTATTTAGCTGTTAGTGTAAGGTGTAGAAGTTTGTGCATGGGGTGCAGATCATGTTCATACATACCAATAATAACACAATGCATGGCAGTCACTCCAGAATAGGAAAATTAAGATAAAAATGAAGCGCTGTCCATGGTCGGCGCGGAGTACATAAGCAAGCAACCGGTGGTCGACCATCTCTCATCGTCGGGCCCGTCTTAATGCACGTGAAAGACCGGACGGTGAATGGTGAACATGCAGTGCCGGAGTGCAGTACCAGCAGTACGTCTTGTCATCGAACAGCTCAGACTTTTATCACTCCGGCACGGGCGTCAGCTGGCAGCGGTCTGGTATTGTGCCTGCTTCTGCTGTGTTGGAATCGTTGAACGATGTTTCGAAATGGTTTGGGTTTGATGACGGGATGTGCCAGTGGGTTTCTTGTACCTAAGTCGCACCCATCTGCCGGCCACTCTGTTTGGGACGCGACCGCAGCGTCGTCAATGTATCGGCGTTCATCAGCTGCGGCTTGTACACCGTGTCGTATGGCCGTCCGGGTTTTTAGACGGAACTGGACACGATTCCCCGTGCCAGTGGACGATGACGAACATCAGACCTGGTCTTGGCCTCACTCTTTCGTCGTGATAGTCTTGATGTTGGTGGTCTTGAACGTTGTGATCGGATGGGTAACGTAATTCCGCACAGTCTGTCCTGCTGGCCGTGGGACACTTCCTTATCGACGGCCGGGTGATTGAGGCCCAGCTGGGCAAGCTCGTGATCGGCCGACCCAACACCGTATACCATCAGCAACTGCGGCTATACAGCCCACCACCGGAAAACGTATCCCGGTCACCTGAAGACCACGCATGCAAATGTTGGGTAAACGCTTTACGCTATGACCGTGCTGAACAGGCTGTCCCAGTGTACGAGTTGGTCTGCGTGATAATTAATCCGTTCTGGTACGGGCCATCGATAGAACACGGTGGCCAGCTGCGTCCATCACGCGACCACAAACACAAACGTGTAACCGCCACACGTGTAATACTCGGTCCGGGTTACACGTCTATAGTATATAATATGTGCCCGCCTAGCGGAGGTGGCCCACCGATCTTATAGTGGCCACCGACGGTTGCCCCACAGTGGCCAGACAGTACGGCCGGTCAGCGCCGACCGATCATTGCAGGTGATGGCCTCGTGGCGCGTCTTTGAACACCTGCCGGTTGGCCATTAACACGTCTGCAGCACGTAATATTGCCATCAATGCGATCAATAGTAACCTGATTTTCCTGTCGTAGATGCTCGAAAAACCATAATCATATTATAACAGTTCAACCATCAAATGTACCTATATTGTACTGTTGTGACGTATATTTCATTAAGTTGCTCCAACGTTCATTGAATTCGTTTATTGCAGGCCGTAACCCTGGGCGCGAGTTAATATACAGCGTTGAATTAAAGATTTATTAAGAATTTAAGCACCTCTATAAGTAGTTATTCCACTCATCAGTTATAACAGTCAAATAGAATGTCTATTTTATAACTATATATTAATAATATTATATACCTACCTATATTGACTATAAAAGTTTGTTTAAATACACGTTAGTTTATTACTATAACAATATCGGATATTACTATATAATGTGTGCACGCCTAGCGGAGGTGGCCCACTGATCTTATAGTGGCCACCACGTGCCACCGACGGTTGCCTCACACCGTGGCCAGACGGTACGGCCAGTACAGGTGGTCCTTGGACGTTCGATATCTCGTCACCGCCGACCGATTATTATTGGTGATGGCCTTGTCGATGCTCGTCTTTGACCACCTATTATAGTTCAATAATTATGAATTAATATTATAAGTGGACAGGATAACAATTTTTAAACATAATATTAAAATATTCATTTTTTTTTTACAACATAAATTGAATTTTAAATATAAATCTAACTATGCCGTTTTGATCACCAATCTGCGAATGTGCAAATGTAGGCTTCGTGTCGTTACTTTTTTCGTAAAATCGTAGCAAATAACTAGAAATCCAATCCAGCTTAACTCATTGGAGGGTTTCCTATATACGCGAACACTGGAAATTAATTGTAGATGTAATGCAAGAATATTATGACAACATAATATTGATTACCGATTTTTAATCAAACGTTGAGTTGAAACATCTGAATAATAGCCCAAATACCTACATTGATTATTTTTCCCGACATTTATCCCTGGTCGTCATTATCCGAGTTAAATGGATTTTTAATTTATTTATTTCTACTTTAAAATATAAACACAATCATATTAACATAATCGAGAAAAATAAATGCTCTCCGTAGGTGCCTAAAAGTTTACCATATTATTATCAAAATATTATGTTATTAATTTTGTTTTTCGATAGGCTCGCGTCAGGCAATTTGTACGCATGCGTGTAATATTAGTAACACAGACAGCGGTGACACGGCCCTACAGGATTAGTTTTGGTTTTCGAATATAATACGGTTATAATATTTTACTTTTTTTTATATATATTTTGCAACAAACTTATTGCTTATTACAATATGGGATTTAATGGCCAATACAATATTTTTCAAACATTAATTGTTTGTTTTTAGTTTTTAATTTTTTCATACTTCTGGAATCGATTTGGTTCAATATCATAATAATTTGGCTGGATTTGAAATTATTTCAATCACCGATTGTGTATATTGATGTCGAATCGACTGTAGTACACTTTTAGCGCAGTCTTTTCAAAACGGGTCTGGACTGTACTTGTGTGAAGAGGCCCCCCCATCAGCTGGTTTGGAAATTACCAATAATATTAGAACATTATCATTTGTTGTCGTTCGAAAGAGTATAGGTATTGGTAATTTCAAATTAATTTTACACAACAAACAATGCAGAGATTCTGCCTACTACAATACCGACTCTGATACATATATATTGTTATTAATCATGATTCATGACACAAATATACTGATTGTGCACCTATAATACTCGTACATTTTGATACTTTTGGCTAGTTGAAATCAATTCGATGCGTTTATAGTTGCGGTCTACCGATTTTGTTTACCCGTAGCCTGTTGCCTGTAGGTAATATTATTATAATATGGGTAGTTACGGTGCGTTGCGTTTTAGATGATGTTGCGGTTTGCCTTTGTAGCTATTACTATCGGAAAAAGTGTTAGCCTTCAATTAATTAGGTAGGTACCTATTAAATTACACAACCAAAAACAAATAACGCGATGGACATAATAAGTTATTGACTACAGTCTTGTAAACTATTCGATTGAATACTTTTATTTTATCCAACTTTTTTTTTTCATAAATATAAATCACCATGAATATTGTTTATGCTTATATAGTTAATAATGTTGTTAAAATGTTGCTTCTGTAGTATTCCCGGTCACTCGTCATTGTTTAAAAGTGCATAGATTTTAGATAGGTATTAAAAAAATATATTTGGGAATTCGGCAATTTAAATTAGTTATTACTAAATATTCAATAAACAAATTGAAAAGTTTTTCATTTCTACTTACTCTTAAAAATGTAATTTAAATAAAATGTAATTTAGATAAAAAAAAACTAGAAACTATTTATTTTTGTTCAGGTGCTAATGAAGTATAACACTCCATTACCTACCGAGGTGAGCCTTCATTAAATGTATTTTTAGTGACGGCGGTACTCTTACGACATAAAATAACCAATCTTACAGATGTATATTTAAAAAAAATTGTTGGTAATTTGTAATAATGTGTAAACTTTTCAAAAAAAAATCTAATTTGGCTGGTAAGCTTCTACTTTTCAAGTACTTATTTAAAAGTATATTAGTAATTTATTATCAATTACTTTACTCTCAAAGTGGTATTTAAGACTTGAATAGTATTTGAAATTATTTATTTAATTAACCTATATTATATTTTACTCAACTACTTTTTAAAAGATTCGTTCACAATACGCTGGTTACATTATAAATTATAGTAATGTGATTATTGTACGAGTATTATTCATCATAATGATATTTATTTTATACGTGTCCATCTGGAAATTATTTCTGTACCAATTAAGTTTAATTATTACATTCGTAAAGAAATTAATGTTTACATATTTCATATATACAGTGGTCGCCGCTTAATGTAATCACTTTGGTACGGGATAAAACTGATAACATAATCCGATTGATAACACTAAACAAAAGTTTAAAAAATAATAATAATAATGAAGTGTAGCGTTAAATTTAATATACATAATATACTGATATACACATAGTTATTAAAAAATATTATTATTTATTACTAATTATAACATATTTGTAGGTAAAAAAAAAAATTAACTATTACTGACTTGAACAATATTTTTTTATTGATATCTGTTTTTTTTACCGTTAAAAGATCATTGATAAATTTTTCGTATTTGTAATGTAATTCAAAATGTGATGAGTGTTGTTGCCCTCCCCTTCGTAATACTCGTAGGGCCTCTCTCATTTCAAAAGAACTTGGAGGTTTTTCAGAATCATTTTGTGGCTCGAGCTCAATTTCTTCATTTTCAATTTCTTCTCCGTGTTCATTTGTTTGTGATAAAGCATGTACAATATCTTCTTCAGTACGATTTGATGTAGTAGGTATATTTTCATCGATTTTCAGCCAATTTTCAAAATCTGAGTAAAAATACTCGTATATAATGATGATTTTATGACCTCAAACTGATAATATAATGCGGCGTATTGATTACAATAACCGATATAATTTACACATTAACGTATATATGCGGCCCGTACTTATACTTTTCGATAACAATAAACGATTGATAACATTAACCATGATTATAATAAGCGGTGACCGCTGTATATATATCTGTACCACAGACGTCAACTAATTTAAGTCCATTTTTTGAAATTATGATTTAGTTATACATATAATCAGAATATGCTTTTTGTGATCATTTTAAAGGTATTAAAACGTAAGTCCTATACCTATACAATAAATGCATAATATATAGCAAGAAGTATACTAACTTAAGTCCTAAACTATATAGGATAGGAGCATAGAAACGTATGCCCAGCGTTTACATAAGAAAAGTAATACAAAATAATATTTTTGAAGTATACAATTGTAAGTTCATTGCAACAAATATTTTTGTTCTGTCTCTCTTGTACAGTTTGCCTTTTGTGACTTACGCTACTCGACTTCTATGGTTATATCGACTTATCTAAAGAGTAGTCTATTGAACATTGACATCTAATTATAAAAAAAAAACTTTATACACCCACGACCCACACTCAAACATAATAATATATACATATGACATACACACACGCAACACACACCTATAACCTACAAGCTATAGAAATAATTTTACATCTTCATTCACTGCTATTTAATTACGTCAGATATTTATTTGTTCATACCTATCACGCCCACATTGCAGTCGATAACTTTATTTCTTTGTCACCTCTGCAGGCCGCCTTTCTCCTCTTATCGTGATTTATTTTTATACAAACAAGCCAACGTGGAATAAGATTTCGGAATCTTACAATTGACACTGCTATGATACGACTACATACTTTCCGATGATAATAATAATTGTTTCGTCACTCTTAATTTAAATAGTTTTTACTGATCTAATAAATGTGTAAGCTTAATGTAAATTGATCATAAAAGAAGTTTGTTACACATACAATATTAATACACAGTTCATATTACGC